CTCGCCTCCCTGCTGTATGGACGGAACACACCCTTTAGCTCCTAATCTCCTCACTAGATTTCCTCCCTTCCCGCCCCACTCAAGGGTCGCCATTCAGGGCGCTACTCAAATCTGACATCAGCTATCCCAGCTTCTAGAGTCTGCATCTAAAAATAATGCTTGTATCTTTACCTATCCAATCTTCTTTTTGTCCTGTCTCCTAAAAAGTTGAGATTCTGACTTTTATTTATTTATTTTTTAAGATTTTATTTATTTGAGAGAGAGGGAGAGGGAGAGAATACGAGAGGGGGGAGGATCAGAGGGAGAAGCAGGCTCCCCGCTGAGCGGGAGCCTGACGTGGGACTCGATCCCAGGACTCTGGGATCCTGACCTGACCCGAAGGCAGATGCTTAACCGACTGAGCCACCCAGGCGCCCTGAGATTCTTACTTTTAAAATGCTAACTCATCGATACGTACCTCAGATATTTATCTAATATATGTGTGCCTGTATCTTCCCTGCCAGATTATACATTCCTTGAAGGAAACCAGTATGTTGGGTGTTCCCCACAGGACATTTTTTTAAAAAACTAGGCTCCACACCCAGCATGGAGCCCAATGCGGGGACTCGAACTCACAACCCTGAGATCAAGACCTGAGCTGAGATCAAGAGTCAGACACTTAACCAGCTGAACCACCCAGGCACAACCCCACAGAACATCTTTAAGCACATTATCAATCAGTATTTGCTAGGAACATTAATCCTGTAAGGAAAACAGACCCCACTAATTATTACTTCTCCTTCTTCTCCTGTTTTGAATCTCTCCACTCCTGGTGGTACCTTATCCTTTAAAATCCACTGTCTCCCATCCTGAAAAGAAGCAGCTTTTTTTTCCCCCGTATTTTCTCACACCCTCAAACAAGAATTCAATATTTTTTCCTTGCTCCCTTAAGGAAACTTCCAGGACTGCATGAACTTTCTTATCACCCACTCACTCTTTAAGCCTTACACTTACGTTTTTGTCCCGATGACCAATTTTTCCTTCTGAGCTCCTTTTCTTCCTCTGGCCTCAAATGAGGAACACTTGAGGTGTTCCTCAAGCTTCCATTCTTGGCTCCCCTCTTTGCTTTTCTACAAGGACTCCCTCCTTGGCCGTCTCGTCCACTCCTGAGGCTTCAGCTGTAACCTCCTGATGCGAGAGTCCTAAACCAAGACCTAGAGCTGCGTTTTCTATTGCCACAAATCTCACATGCCCCAACCTCTACAAACCTCGATCTCCTGTTTCACAGCCCACAGACAAACAGAAGTTAATCCCGGCAACACATGAATCCTATCTTCTTCCTGAATTCTTTATTTATATTTTTGGTAGGACCAGGTCCCAGTTACAGGCTTAAAATTTACCCTCATCTTCTCTGCAGCCCCCTGGGGCTCCCAGATATGGTCATTGGTCCAGCACTCACAACGCCCAATACCTTCCATCCACCCGTGTCTGGCATTCAAGGCCCTAGGGCCCAGGCTCCAGCTTATCCCTCAGCCTTATCACCTAGGACCTCCTAATACTTCAACTCCAGGCAAAGTATTTGTCAGTGGCTCTCTCCTCAGAGCGTTGACAGGTACCGCTGCTGGTAGCAGGGATGCTCTCGTCCTGCCCTTGACACACATCCCAGCACCATTTCCGTGTCAGAGACGGTAATACCACACAGCCGTTCAAACTGATGGCACGGCCATGTCACAAACTGAATAAAGTTTGTGAGATAACATTACATAACAGAAGGAAGATATATTTACAAACAGTTTTTATAATTATTCATATGAAAAAAAATGTATGAGGGAATACATCCAAATGACAAAAAACAGTAATATTAGAGTAGTGGAATTGTGAATGAGGTTTTTCATTTTCCTAGATTCTAAATTTTACCTAGTGTGGTTTTTAAAATACATTTTTACTTTAGGGGCGCCTGGGTGGCTCAATCAGTTAAGCAGCCGACTCTTGATTTGAGCTCAGGTCACGATCTCAGGGTCGCGGGATCGAGCCCTGCATCAGGCTCCATGCTCAGCGGGGAGTCTGCTTGAGAGTCTCTCTCCCTCTCCCCCTCCCCCCACCTGCACGTACTCTCTCTAAAATAAATAAATCTTTAAATAAGATAAAATGAAATACCTTTTTATTTTAGAATAGTTTTAGACTTACAGATATCTTGAGAAGATGGTATAAAGAGTTCCTGGATACCCTACACCCCATTTCCTTTATTATCATTATTATTATTATTTTAAAGACTTTATTTCTTTGACAGAGCAAGAGAGCACAAGCAGGGGGAACAGGAGAGGGAGAGGAAGAGGGAGAAGCAGGCTCCCCGCTGAGCAGGGAGCCCGATGTGGGACTCAATCCCATGACCCTGGGATCATGACCTGAGCCGAAGGCCGATGCTTAACAACTGAGCCACCCAGGTGCCCCCATTTCCTTTATTGTTAACACCTTACGTTAGTATGATACTTTTGTCACAACTAAATGAGCCCAGTAGTTTCATGTAGTTTCTAAAACTTAAAAGATAAAGACTTTAGTTTGGTAAAACCAAATAAACAACATAAATCGAGGAAAATGTCATTCTTTCTATCACCTCTAACTCCGCGTTAGCAACCTGATCTTTATTATTTTTATTATTACTCCAGTTTCGTCTTGGCATGGATTGTTGGCTACAAACTGGGACCAATTTTGCTTTAGTCTCATTTGCCAGATGTTTGTGCATGCAGTTCACATAGTTGAAACTTCATTGTTGGCTAAAGGTTCTGGAAAGTGTTTTCTTGAACATAAAGTTCCAGACATTTTTTTTTTTTTTTTCCCTAAGTAGGCTCCATGCTGAGCATGGAGCCCAGCATGGGGATTGAACTCATGACCCTGAGCTCAAGAGCTGAGATCAAGAGTAAGATGCTTACCCATCCGAGCCACCCAGCCGCCCCAAGCTCCATGAATGTTTTTAAGCCCTGTGAACCATCCCCACACCTAGAATCTCACGTTGGATGCCCTGCTTCGCCGGCGAGTCCATAAGCTCTTTGGGGGTCTTCTCTCCTCCCTGCCCTACCCCCTGCTTTTTCTTCCATCCAAGAACACCCAGTCCAGATTTGGTCTCAGAACATACACTCAACAAACGCCACTTGTAATAAGTTGTAGACGTAGGACAGGCTCTACCAGACGGGCTATGGGTTTTAAGTTCCTAAAAGTAAAGGATTCTCTATATAATTTGTCTGAGATGTCAGACTTCGACTTTGCACATGAGGACGCTGCAATGTTTTCCCTCTGCATCATCCAAAGTGGATTTTAGTTTTCAAGTAATAAAAAGCATTCACACACCAAATGTTACATATTCTGAAGAACATATCTTCAGCTTGCTTTTAATGTCGGAGCTCCAGAAAATGGACTATGGGTTTCGTTTTGTTTTGTTTTCTTAAACATGTCTCCCCTGGTGAGTTTTCTGTATTCTAACTGCCAAGTTGGTTTCAAAGAATCCTCTGGATATCTAGCAGTTAGAACAAATCCTATAGATTATGCAAAGAAATAACGAACTGAAGTAGCTAGGTACAGTCCTACTTTTCATAGAAATATGACAATTTCTTTTACAACAGAACTGGAAAAAAAATCTCAAATAGGTTTCTTCCCCTTTTATTCATTTACAGATCTATTTTTATCTTTTAGTCTTTACTTCAAATAGCCAGACCTATGACACTAAAATTAAACAGTTTCTGAACAGTGTCCTAATCTTAACTGGTTTTGGAAAATCCCTAAAAGCAAGCTAAACAAACAATGTAGCATTCTTGCATCTTCATGAGAGTCTATATCGTGTTACAAAACATGCGAAGAGCAAAACTTGGTTAAACAAATCGAGGAATGCAAGAAGAGAAAATTTCAGACTTTGGGGTTACTACAATTGTTTAAAATTAGTCGGTGCCCAAGTCAGTCATTAGATCGTAATTCCACGGAAAATGCTAAGGATTACTAAAGAAGACTATGTATATTCACAACAGGTGACTGAAGAGCCCCAAACCAAAGTTAAAAGCAGCATCACGGACAACTTTCCAGAAAGCTGTGTACAATTAAAACTGACTGTTCTATCAACTACAGTATAATTTTGCCTTTTTTTTGCAAAAGTGATCTGACTATCCAAGAGTATCACTATTAATGATGTATGACAGACTGATGTTTGACAAGTAAGCCTAAACAGAACTTTCAATTTGTCTCACTAAAAAAATTACCTTGGCGTTATGGAACGGGCAGGACCAAACTAGCCCATCTTGAGGCAAGACATGCTTTTTGAGACATTTGACACTCTAAATATAGTTCAGCAGCTGTGAAGCGTTGTGCAATTCTGCTAATGAGCTTTGAGCGAATAGAAAGAAGTGGGCTGGACAATACAAGAAGTAACGGAAGCACAAGGTGACCCAAGGAAGCTTCGGGAAGGATGTACCTCAAAAGGTGAACAATGGAATGACAGGCAATTCTCAGTTTTTTGGGGTACATTTTTGTCCTTTCTGAAGTTTAAAATAACAAACATTCTTTTATAATCAGAAAACAGTACCGGGATTTGCTTTTTGGGGAAAGACAAAAAAAAAAAAATAATAACGTGTTACTGAAAAAAGGAAAAGTTTTATAAAAACATTACAAAAATGTTATTAGACTATCCAGTTTTGTTGTGGCTTAAAAAAAGCTTCCCATTCACAGCAGACCAACTCCATCTGAAAGAAAGCAGGCTCCACTCTTTCATTCACCTACACTGATGGTCTGTGTTTAGCCTACAGACAAATATTTTTTTTTTTTGAAAAACGGATTAAAGCTACCATAGTAACCGGGAGTAACAGACGTTGTGTGGATGTGCTCTATCTACCGGGCTGTCTAAAGATCATTTCCAGACTTATTTTATTACCTAAAAATCCTCTTCTTTCTTTTCAAAGCTCTGGAAGAGAATTTCTAAAAAAATTCTAGGAGGATTAGCAAGAGCCTAAGGGTGAAAATATAACTGAAAGGAGTCTTACCTGATGTTGCACATCAGAATCTGTTGGGCAGTTCAACGTAATGGGATCACATTCCTCAGCTGGGGGGTGGAAAAAGACACAAGCTTGATAAAGAACACGCTCTGCGGTGTAAGGCCTACCATTAGGATGCAATATTATGTGCTCCCGAGACATCTAGTAAAATCAGGAAGGCCTCAGGTCTCCTGCTCTCTCTGCATCCATGTGTAAGGCCCCTAAGCTACACCCCACTGCCTGGCAGGGCACCAGCCACAGTCCCCACTCACCCCTGAGTAAAGAGTCTCAGCTCCCTGCCAGTCCACAGAATTACTCAGATGAGCCAGTCACATCCTCCCTGCGGAACCAGGGTGCTCCATACTCTTGCCACGTTTACCACCTGCAGTCCCTGGTTGTTCACGCTGTTCCCGAGGGCAACCCTCTGTGACCCTGCATGGCTTGCAGTGTCCCCCTCCCCCAGGCCGTGAGGATAAGGGACGCATAAACTGCTGTCCCTCTCCTTTGTCCAGTATCAGGTATGTGTGGCCATCCGCCTAACCCCAGGGCAGGATCCGTCCCCCACCAGCCGGGTGAACAGGAGGTGGTCTGACAACTGGCCTCACAGACAGCATGGCCCACCCACCATGGAAGACATTCGGTCAGACTGAACCAGTGTCACTGGCCCAGTGAGGGCTGCCTGGGACAGAACTGCCAGTTGCCAGACATGCACGTCGGTGTTTGTCCTCTCTTCCCACCTAAAATGTCCTCGTCCCCAAGATGAAAACTGCTGTTCACTGTCTGTCCCCCCCCCCGCCCCCCGTGTGACGTGTTGTCGGGTTCCACTGATGCTTGGCAGGCAAGCTTGGAGGATTCCAGCTCTAAGTGCCCTGACCGGTCCCTACTTAAGTCCCAGCTATGAAGGGCTGGGCTCGAGCTCTCCGGGGGCTGTGTCCAGCCTGGTGGCCAACACGGTACTTGGGGCAGGTGCACAAGGACTGCGATCGTACATGGCCAGGATGGCTGTGGGGATGGCCCTTTGGGAGGTCTGCAGAAAGCAATGAGATCATCAGCCCAGGGAGAGTGAAACATGGCTTCCTGCGTGTGGTTGCCTGGGCACAAAAGGCGACCTTGTCTGTCTCCTCTGCTGTCGCTGCCCTTGTGGCCGGCACACATGATCTCCTGACCCCCGAGGGCATCAAGGTACACATCCACGGCAGCCCGTGGCCCGGGAACTGGGGGGAATGGGAAAGGAGTGTTTGGCACGTGGCTGTTGTGCCAATGCCACGCCCCCAAGCCCGTGCGCCCGGGCTTAGCGCAGCTGCTTACAGTGGCGTGCCAAAGGACCAATCCTGCGATCGTGGGCCTGATGGACCCTACGCGACCCATAAGCAGTAGGACCTTCCTGGAGGTGGACCCCCAGGCAGATTGACTGGCCTTCCCTATGAGGTGGGCCATCAGCCTCCTCAGCCTGTCCCCACAAACCCCCCAGAGAGTCTGCACCGTGAATGATCAGAAAGTGAATGCTGAGGCTTTATGCAGGTAGAAATAAAAATATTCCACAGGAATCCGCAGAGAAAGCATAAAAAACAAAGGAACGGCAGGGCCATAGCCAAAAGCCCAGTTTCAGCCCGTTGCCGCTGGGCCACTGGGCTACCTGTGCCTGATACAATGAAGATCCGGATCCTCAGTTACAGGGGAAACCCATGGTCCCCCTGCGGCATGGTGAGGGGTTAGTTAGTTCGAGCCTGACGCAAGCCTGGGGTCCTGAAACCACATGAAAGCAACCACTACCGTACGGCAGGCAGCCGTGGCAGGCCCCAACCCCCATATTACTGATCTGAGGCTCTGTGGAGGAGGAAATGTAGAAATACGAGCAGAGCAGAGGATTCCCCCACCTACCCAGAGTTGATCTGGTGACACAAAAAGAAAAGGGCAAGGGAAATGAAAGAAAGACAGAGGTCCAGAGTTTGACCCAATGGCAAATCCAACATTTACTACTATCATTTACACAGCCCACAGATGAAAGAGTGTGGATGGGTGGCTCACTTGGCTGCGCATCCAACTCTTGATTTCAGCCCAGGTTGTGATCTCGGGGTTGTGAGATCGAGCCCAGTGTCAGGCTCCACGCTGAGCGTGGAGTCTGCTTGAGATTCTCTCCCTCTGCCCCCCTCCCACTGCATGGGTGTACACACATTAAAAAAAAAAAATAATAAAGTGCTGGATGCCTCTGTGCCTGATGACCTAAGTTCTGAATTAGCTTTAATATCTGCTAAAATGCATCAATTGGCAAAACCCTCATGGACTTAATCAGTACTGGGGCTCCAACTACAGTTACACCTGGAGATGCCACTAAAGGTCAACCCGGTGTCCCCCCCTCCCGTAATCTTAGGAGAGCTCCTGAATGTAAAATAGAGGACAGGCATGCCTCACCCTGACTGTTTTGCCTCCATATCCCATGGTCACGGCACCCATTGCCCTAGAGCATCCCACAGGGGGCATGGCTACTCTGACTCCATAAATTAATATTCAGTCTTTACAGTTAGAAGGTGACTTGACAAAATGAGACCCCATAGACCTCTTAGTTCAAATAACCAATATGGCCCAAGGTAAATTAAACAGGACCTTCAAAAATCAAAACTTATTATTTAAGACCTGATGAGTGAAAGGCTGATTATCTACTGCTTCTCCATTTAACAGTTGAATATGGCCTCTTCTTAAACACGGAAGAAAATGAATGGCACCTCAAAGTGCATTACTGCAACCTTAATGCAGTGGTCCCATCCTTTAAAGCCCCATACCTGATGCCCAGTATTATTGAAATTACTGACTCCATCCTATCAGCCACTAGTAAATATGTGGCTATTAGAGATTTGTCTAATATGTTCTGTCCGGTGTCTGCTTTAGCAGCCTCTCATTGTAGTGTGCCTTCATCTGCAAAGGCACCTATACAGGGTGACCAGGCTACCCACGGGGTACCTAACAACCTCGTCCTACCACACAGCATTTGCAGGCAAGATCTTAACTACACCCAACCTTCTCCAGGATCACAGGTATGACATTACATGGATGACATCCTCCTCTGAGGACATCCATTTGACAGAGTCATCCAAGCCATCAAAATATCCATAAAAGAGCTCACAGAAAGGGAATGGCACATTGCCCCCCAACACAGTGCACCGCCCTGCCAACTTGGTTAAATTCCTAAGACTCTTCCGGTAAACTAAGGGCTATTCCATCTCTGATGCTGCCAATAAAGAGTTATGGAGCCTCTCAGTCCCTGCAAGTTAAGACAAGTCCACCATCTTTTAGTTCTTTTGGAACTCTGGAGGCAACATATTCCCCCATTGACATACTTTACTTACGCTCATTGCTACAGTTACTTGCCAAGTGGTCCACCATAAATTTGGCTCCCTCCAACAAAAGTCTACAACAAGCATTCTCAGAGACCCCTTCATTGCCAGGGTTTCAACAACCTCTTCATATTCCTCTTGAAGTCCCCAGACCACCCATGATAGCCATAAGTTGTCCACATGCTTCTGATGCAAGAAACTGCCCTCCTAGGCCCTTCTCTCTCTATACCATTAGAACAGCGATTGCTGGCTACATGCCAAGCTCTTCTGGAAATAGAGGCTCTCACTGTGAGCCTCCGTGCCCTGCTGCCCGTTATGCCTTAGGTCACAGAAACAGAACCGCACAAGCTTGACATGGCTACTGAGGCCTTGCTACTAAGTGGAGCAAACCCCGGACCCTCTGGCATGTTCCACCCATGGGAGGGGGCATGCCCCACTACCCTCAGTCTCTTACCAGATGCCATGATGCTGGAAGAGGTTACTCTTCTGAGATGCCTGGGTTACCTGGGGTGGGCGGGGCAGGGCGGGGGGGGGGAGTCCCTTCAGAGCAACTGAGTGAATAGCAGTGGGAGTTTGCAGACACTAAAGATGAGATCACCACCAACATACACGATGGAGCTCATGGATAGTTGTGCTTTCCAGCCCATCCAGGATGTCCCTGATAACAGATGGGATTTAAGGGTGAGCACAATTGGCCAAACTTCAGGGTGTCATCTTAGTGCCGGCTGCCCTGGTCAACAAATGGTCCCGTCAGCAGCATCACTATTTTATTATTATTATTATTAATTTTTTTTTTTTTTTACAAACTCTTGAACCATTGCCTAAGACTTGCCCACTCTGGGGTAAAGAGCTCTGGGAATCTCTTGCCTCACAGATGAACAGAATATAAAGCAAAGTGACAGATGTCTTACCTAGAGTAAGACCACCATATAAGGCCTCGCGAGAACACTCTCTACCCCCTTGGAGCTCCAGACATTACTGGATAGGGACCAAGGTGTTCATTCCACTTCTCAAATACACAATGCCTGGCTCTGAAAGGAGCCACTCGATGCAACTTCCATCTACTCTACAGGCAACAGGTTCCATCGGAAGGTAGAATGGGCTCCTCCCAGAATTCCTGTTTTAGTTACAAAGTGCAAACAGAACCCCTGCCTGGTGTCACTCCTGCCAGAGGCATTGGTTATATCGATTCATGGCCTCTGGGGCCATGCCCTCACTGCCCCCATGCCACACCACATGGCCCATTCCCTCCTGGTCAAGTGCCTGTTTTGCTATTTAGGGAGGCCCTTCTCTACCCTGTAAGTCTCAATCATCACTAAGATTTAAGTTGATGTCAAGAGACCGCGGAGTCCACTGGGGTATAAGACCTAAGACTGAGACTCAATATTATGTGCTGTCTTGACAGCTGGTAAAATCAGGAGGACCTCGAACGGCCTCACACCGCACTCTGCTCCATGGATAAGGCCCCCCAGCTAAACCCAAGCCACAGCTGCCACATACCCCTGAGTGTTGGGTTTCAGTTCCCTGCCAGCCCACAGAATTACTCAGATGAGCCAATGACATCCTCCCCGGGGAACCAGGGTGCTCCATCCTCTTGCTACCCTTACCACCTGCAGTCCCTGGTTGTTCAGGCTTATCCTGAGGGCAACCCCATGTGACCCTACATGGCTTGCAGCGTCCCCCTCCCCCAGGCCATGAGGATCAGTGACTCATAAACTGCCGTCCATCTCCTCTGT